TTTTTGAAGATTTGACTAGGGAATTCTTTGAGGCTTTAGTTTTAAAAAGCTTGAGTATCTGAATTCAGGTTATATATTTACTTGTGGAGTAGGTGCTGCAACTTGACCAGTGTGGACGGTGTATACCTGATTATGCATTGCTCGGTACTTTGAGACAATCACCAAATTGGTTGCCGAGATTAACTAGTCTGTCCCTCAGTGGTGCTTGCCGTCTTTCAGATAAGGGGTTGCAGGTGCTTGTTTCTTCTGCCCCACAACTGAGATCGATTAATCTAAGCCAGTGCTCCCTTCTCTCATCTGCCAGTATTCATATTTTGGCCAATTCATTGGGATCACTTTTGAAAGAGTTGTATCTCGATGATTGCTTAATCATTGATGCTGCACAAATTTTGCCAGCACTCAAGAAACTTGAACATTTAGAAGTGTTGTCATTGGCCGGCATTCAAACTGTCTCTGATGAGTTTATCAAGGAATACATTGTTGCACGTGGTCACAACATGAAGGAGCTTGTTTTAAAGGACTGTGAGTAAGTACTGTATGAACTGCCTGAAATTTTCCAAAGAACTGATGCTTTTATCAAAGTATTTTCTTGGGAGAATTCCTTCTTATGAAGGGAACATTTTTACCAAATCTCAGATTTATGGTTGATCCAATTAAAGTTTGGTTAACCATTGACCACTCTTGGAGAATGAATTAATCATTATTTCTGACTTTTGTTAACTGGTAACCACTCTTTGAGCATAGCATAACCATTATTTCTAACTTTGTTAATTCTTCCTAACTTGGAATTATCTTTGCTAGGAAATCTGAAACTCTGATTTTGCTTATTATTTTTTATTGCTAAATATTATTTTTCTCTTTAGCTTGTTGATTTATGATTCTTATCGTGCAGAAAATTAACCGATGCATCAATAAAAGTCATTGCTGAACACTGTCCTGGGTTGTGTGCACTTGATCTTATGTACTTGGACAAATTAACAGATTTATCCATAGGATATCTTGCAAATAGTTGTCGAACACTTCATACATTGAAGCTCTGCCGCAATCCATTCAGGTGTTTTTCTGCTATTTCCTCTATCTCATACATTTGCATATCGCTTTTGCGAGACACTTGTCCAAAATCTGTCTGATCTTTTGCAAGAAATGACTCGCTTATAGAAGCTTATAGCTTTTTAATAAGATGTATCTTTGTTTCTGTGATAATATGAATTCTCTGTTGGAGTGGTTAATGATTAATTTCCAATCCTTTTGAACATTGCTCTGAATCTGATGGCTTCCAAGGCTGGAGTTTAATTTCTGTTGTCCATCTTCCTTAGGATGCATCAGATTCTGTGGCCCTAGGTATAGGGGATAACACCTCGCCATAACCTATTTGTAGGGTTTTGTTATTTCTTCCATGAATTGGTATTGATTTTCTAGTATTTGGACCATCAGGAGTATTTCTTGATATGGGTCTGATTTAAAATTAATTTCTCGTAGTCTTGTCATTTGTATTCTATAACATCCTTCCATCTATCTCTTATTATTACCATTTATGCATGATACAATTCGTGTGTCCTAGGATGGTGTTTAAGAGTACTTGCTGTGCATGTATCTTGATCTCTTGTACGTTTTCATTGATGAATAAATTTAACACTATTTCTTCACTACAGTGATGAAGCAATTGCTGCATTTTTGGAGATTACTGGAGAGTCCTTGAAAGAACTTTCACTGAATAATATTAAGAAGGTACATTGCTATACTTCCTTGCTGACTTTGTCTCCATTGGCCCATGGGTTTGTGGATGTATGTGCTACACACCGTAACATGTATGTGCTGGAAAGGCTTCTCTGTGCTCATAAAAGGATTAATTAAATTATTATCAATTTAGCCTAAAAAATAGTAGATTATGTGTTCAAAGTGCAACTGCTCCTCTATTATCTATTCTTCGATCATAATTTTACTCAAGCAAACACTTCAACATGCACTGTATGCTGCAATTTGTTTTATTCGGAAATTAAATTCATAACCAACAGAGCAACATTTATATGATAATTATAAACAAAATATGGAAGGTTCTTTACGTGAAATGATGCTTGTATAGTATTTGTCTGATTCCTTGATAGAATAATATGAAACAAAACTCTGCCTCCAATCCGAGGAACGTCGACCATTCAGCTGACCCTTTAATTTTACTTATATAATTGAGGTCGTTGTTAATTTTTATTCTATTTGCTTTTCAATTAGCCTTGTGGCTGTGATGACTAACGAAATCTTGTTTATTTTTCTGACTGTATGACACATTTGGTTTAATCCAGGTTGACCACCAAACAACCTTATCACTTGCGAGGCATGCAAAAAATTTGCAGATTCTAGATCTATCTTGGTGCCGGAATTTGACGGACAATGAGTTGGGTTTTATCGTAGATAGCTGCTTGTCACTGAGGTTGCTTAAGCTTTTTGGTTGCTCACTGGTAAATATCCATCATCATATTAAACTGACCTCAAAAGGCATTTCTGTGATGAATTTCTTGTGGTCATGGAAAAATATATATTCTGATTATATGATATGATTTTGTAGGTAACAGATGCTTTTCTGAATGGGCACTCAAACCCAGAGATTCAGATCCTTGGATTGAAGATGTCTCCTTTATTGCAAAATGTCAAAGTGCCTGATCCCCATCAAGGGCCTTTGCGTTATTCATCAGTTTCGGTAGATAACTAGATATGATAGAAATTAGAATTAGAAATGAAACATATGGATGGCATTACTGATGGTTATTCTGGTAAAACTAGACAAAACATTCTGCTAACATGGTGCTAACTGTTTAGACAAAGAAACCACCGTGTTGCCCATTTTACCCTTTTGTTTTAGTGATACCATTGTTGCAAGCATTCAAAGTCAAACATACATACTATTACATTTTATCAGACTATTCATATTCATTATGTACAGTGGATATGTATAGCAAATTCTTAACCTGACTGAATATTATAGTCTGAATTTGTTAGTGCTCTGTTTCAATAAGTTAGTTCTCTGCTTCGTTAGGACAGTTGGACCAAAATCACGAATTTTACAAAATTGAGAACTAAAATAGCAGATTTTAGAACTAGGAAATTAAAATTATAAATCAAATACTTCAAGAGATAAAAATACAATTTAACCAAAAGGAAAACTTCAACCGAGGTTTGCCTTTGCCTACTATAAAACTTTTTATGAAATAGATATTAAAATGAAAATTATAGCTTTCTGGACGAGTTCCAAATTGCACCGTCATTTGACGAATTTCCAAATTTTTTAGTAAATTTTGTTTACGAAGAAGTTAGTGTTTGGAGCTTTTTAATCAAATATCGAAAAGAATACGAAAATTGGGATGTATTGTACATTGAATTTGAAATCAAACTTGTTTTTGCTCTAAATTTATAGGGTTGATTTAGTGGTGAGTTGGGCAATATATATGAGTTATTAAGTTTTAACTTCAATGTAATTATCGTATAGTAAAAAACTTGTTTTTGTTCTTGAAAACATGTAATTAATTAAGTTACAATAAAGAACTTTTTGTGTGGATTTATAACTTGTATATTGAATTTCATTATGTTTTACATAAATAAATTTTGAATTAAGTTAAAATAAACATGTTTTCTTTTCTAGATTTAAATTTTTTGTATTGAATTTCATTGTATATTTCTTTTAAGATTCAAAATTTTAAATATACATAAATTTGTTTTAATTCAAATTGATTTTGTAAAATAAAGGGCAAAACATCGTATAGTCTGCAATTGAACATGAAAGCCGGTAAGAGTTCCGATTGGTTTGCCACATTGGTCAATTTACGAGAGCCCTTGGCTGGAACCCAAAGCCAAAAACTAACGAGGGATCGTAATGAACTAAACACAATGATTCTGAGTCTCGCATTTCTTATCATCGCCTTTAATAAGGGACAAACTGTACTATAAATCTATTTTTAATGCCTGCTTTGTAGAAGTAGCAGTCTCTTTTTCTCTAATGTTTGTGGTTTATGGCTAAGGAAGAGTTGAGATAATACTACATTTCCAACACTTTTTAAAACGATGTTTTTGACTACTTAAACGTCAAATATCAAGCAAAGAGGAGGGACAGATTGCAGAAAAGAAGTACTATCTTTTTGAAAAATTAAAGGAAATGGGTAGAAAACAGAAATAAGGAACATTTACATCAACTATTATGGAATCTTCTAAAGAGATTTATTGCACATGGTAAAGTACGTACAGATTATGATCCTGGATTGAAAAATCAATTGCTGCAATTATGATTGGATATGCATGCAACTGTAACAAAATATAAAATTGTAAAAATATCAATTATTGATTGTAAAAAGAATTTGTAATTCAAGACTTTTCGGAAACTATTCAATCGGAGCACAACAATATCCTTGGTGCTTTACATTTCAAAGCGAAGCAAGCACATTCGATTCTTTACCAACAGGGGGTTTACCAAGCCAACTACCTGAAAATGTGAAAAGGAGGAGAAAATTGTCTGAATTATAATAGCATTTCATGATAAACTATAATCCATTATAGAGCACGGAAAATAAAGATGAATAAACAAATAGTTGTTTCACCTCGAAGCCCAAGTTATGGAAAAGTATCTGTGCAGGTGTATTGTTTCTGTCCACATGCGCATACACACGTGCCACACCATTAGATTTTGCACGTTGGACAGCAAAATACAGCATCTTGGTTGCAATACCCATGCGACGAGCTGATTTGGCCACACACAAGTTTGCAATATAACCATATTTGCTTAATGGTGTTCGGTTGATGATGGAACAATCATGAGCCTCCACCACTTCCTGCAGAAATTATTAGTTTAAAAAGCATCAAAACTTTTTATTACATAAATGTGATATACATACCCCAGGATAACTCACTTCTAGCATCAAATTTCGGATATTCAAATCAAGGGTTCCTACGACACTTTGTATTACTGTGCGTTTTACATTCTTCTCCTCCTTCCACACCTAATAATGATGAACTTGATATCAGACACCATAAGGGGAAATTAAGGAACCAAATAAGAAGAATTCATGGTTTTACCGTGATAATGCATGTGCTACTCTCGCCGTCTTGTTCCTTGCACCGCGTTTTTATGTCATTAAATTCCTATGCAAATTTCAAGATTTTCATCAAGCATTACAGTTCACAAAGTAATTAATTAGCATCAACTCCTACCTTATCAACAAATTTCTTCCTGTAATTTTCGTTATATCTGAAAAAAACATAATGATAATTAGTCTCGAATGAATGCACTTGATGAATATTAAGGAAAAAGGCACTAACCTAAGGCCACACTCTTTAAAAGTTCCATTTTCCCACTCACTTTCTGCCCTTAGCGACGCTGCGGTCTGTCACAATAACAACAAAAACAAATACATGAACGTAGAAATACATGTTAGTATACATAATACAAAACATTAAAAGAAAAGAAACTTGCCCAATACTCTTCGTCAAGAAGGGCTTCTCGTGCAACAAAATCATCAAACTCAAATCTGAGGTGTGGTTCGAGTTCTTGATCCGAAGGTTGCATGCGGTCAAAACGGAGATTGCAGAACCTCATAGTTTCTACTCTTGTACTTGGAAGTTGCAACGAAACTAGTTTCTTCTTCTTGTTTAAGAAACCAGAATCCATGGTCCTTTTACGTACGTACACAATCACACAAACAACCAAGTAAGATAATACATTCAAACAGTTTGGAGAAGCAATCAAGAAAAAGAATAGAAGGTTACATCCAAGAAGCGGCGATTCTTGGACATTTGTAACGAAAGAACAAACTCTGGCATTGTGGCGTGGAAATGGAAGACATGCTTAATTCTTTTTGTTTCTTGTGCAGAACAAAAATGGAGAATTTGACAGAAGAAATAGAGTGCACGCGTTAATAGAAGAACAGTGAACGTATTCTTGTTTTATTTATAGTATTTTGATATGATAATTGAGACTGCTTAATCATTACTGTTGGAATTAGAGATAAATATATTTATTTATTCAATATTATGTTTTAAACTTTTTTTTTTTAAATATTAAATTTTGCATTTATATTTTAATGTGGCAAGCTGTTAACTACTACATGTTTTGCTTTTGTAAAGTCAATAATTAAATGAAAATTGAATAAATTTAAATAATCTTACGTGTAATATTTAAAAGTTTTTATTAAAATAATTGTGTAAATATTTATCTTAAAATATTTCCTTTTTTTATTATTTAACGGAATAATTTATAGCGTGCCTATTGTTTTTATTTCATGGTTGGATTGGAACGACACAGTGGAGTTGGACTGAAATGCTTATATGACGATTTTAAATGTTATTTTTTATACATATTTATCTATTTATGTTATATATATATAAATTATAAATTTATTAATTTTTAAAATAACTACTTGAGAGTTATATACTATAAATTTTGATAATTATATAATTTCTTTTACACAAAGATTAAATTCAAATATATTTGTGAATGCCACTCAGATTCAAAATTTTATTCAAGAGAGATTAAACTAACAAAAATGATACATCCTCCGAAAGTACCCTCTGAAAAGTATTCTGAAAATTAAAATATTAATTTAAATTATAAAATATAAAAATAAATAATTATTTTATAATAAATTTATAAAAAAATATTAATAAAATATTATTCGGATGATGATTCGGCTTCCATTTTCGGAGGCTGTAGCAGTGTTCTTAAACTAAACATATATCTCTTAAAATAATTATTTATTTACAATTAAATTTGTATTAGTTAAATATATATTTGTACACCGATGATCTTTTATCAATTAGATTACTTCGTGATCCAATGAGAATAAAGACTCTTTACACCTTAGTGCTTGAATTTATGGTAATTTTATACCTATTGAGTCATTTCATCATCAAAAGATCAACTCAAGGGAGATAAAAGAATCTTTGCACCAACTCTATACTGTTGTAATCTCCCGCCAACTAAGAAACTACCTAATCAAATGTGGAGGAGAGACGTGTGGAGGTGATCTCCTTTAAGCCAAGAGAATTCTCAAGTTCATGAGGATACTTGAATGTTAGATGGTGTGCCCCCATAATGAATAGTTGATAGTAAATTTTGCAATCCTTGAAACAAGCAAGATAATGACTTTAAATGAAAATAGGGCATAATTTGCAAAATCATGATAGGAAGTTTAGGTTTGTAATGACACACCATTATATATAAGGATAACTAGATCTAGTAGAGCACGTTTTGATTAAATGTTTTTGCTGAATAGTTATTGAGTTCTCTTAGTACTTGTATCGCTAAGGATCATTCGATGGTAGTCCCACATACTAGAACAGGAACTTTGGTAAGATTTACTAAATATTGTTAAAGGATGTATTTTAAAGAATAAAATAATAAATCATTTATTAAAAATGATAAAAAAAAATAATGATAAAATTAATTAGTATATAATTAAATTTAAAATTAATTAACTATAATATTTATGATTGATTGCCCTTTATTCTTTAAAGTAAAATCTGCTTATTATAGAAAACTCAAATCCTTAATTTCATTCGTTCTTCATTGACCATAGGCTTGAAAGAAGGTGTAATCCTTCCTTAACAAGAGCATTATTCTCAAGTTAAAGATTGATAATTAATGGGATAGTGATTGCAAATTGCATGGAGGAGAAATGGAGGTGCATATTGTTATTCAATAACATATACATAATGAATCCTCCCTAATTAAGCAACAGAAAAATTCTACCTTGAATGCTCACAACATTCAAATTCACCGGCCACACTCATAGTGACCCCAAACAAGCAACAACAGGAAACTGAAGAAGTAACAAGTTAAAAAACAACGATGCAAACATCTGCAATTGCACGAGGTAAACGAAAGATAAAGCAAAATGTGTTGAATCTCATGGTTCAAAATCAGTCTTGACCCACTTCCCGTACTTGCTTTTCATTTTCTCATCCAACTCCTTAGCTTTGATTTCTGCCATCTTGGTGGCATTAGCCATGGACTCCTCTTGCACTTCCGCAACCCTTCTACTCCTCTTCCTTGCTGAGGCCTCTTTCTCTGCCTCCAGATTCTCATAATCCTTCACCCAACAACTATGCACTGCACAACTCAGCATCAGCACCACCATCTGCAGCATGCACATTGCCATCAGAGCCCCACACTCCAGCCTCACCAAAAGTTTGGCTTCTTTGATGTCCCTTGGTGACTTCAGCAGGGACATGCTTGCTTTCTCTTTTGTAAACAAGGCTAATATGCTCAGCACTTGTCCAATCAACGAGGCCACTACAAGTGAAGTGTGGGTGAGGAAGCACAAGTGTGTCAGTTGGGAGTAGAAGCCCACAAAAGATGAGAGAAGTGAGATGCCAGAGACCATGAGGAGAGCCATGCCAAATGAAGTTGGTGGCATCTTGAGGAGAATGGTGGGTGCAAATGAGGAAGCAGAAAGGATGAATAGGGCCAAATTCAAACAGGAAAGGAGGAGGTTAGTGAAGGAACATGTCCTTCTAAACTTTGAAGAGGCCATTTGTTTTTTTCAGTCTCGTGTTTGATTCTCTGCTTTGATTTTGGAAGAGGGTGGTGGAGGATTTGAATTTATAAGGAGGTGAATGGTGCCGTTAAAGATGGATACAACGGCTAGCATAAGGCAGGCCCCACTTTCTTTACTCATTCTTAAATGCTGCAATATTCCCTCTGAAAGCATTCAAAGTGTCTCGAATAAGGAGAACTGTACACTGCACAAACGTCTACGACTGCCATCTGATCATTAGGAATCATACTAGGAGCCATGTTATAATTATAACAGTGGTAACTGATAGTCTAGTACGATAAGAATGTGATAACAGCGTATATATTACGCATAGCTAGTCACAACAGGAATTTGGTATTTACAAAACAACTGTTTGGTTTGTGTTTGAAAGTATCTAAACGGATATCTACCCTTTTCAATACAAGAAACGTTGAAGTATTTCCTCATTAGAGTAAATGACAGTAACGTTCAACATAACTTTTTCAAACACACCCTACATAGAATAACTCGTTTTTCTTTGATTTGATGTGAAAAATTGAGATCGAATACGTACAATTGGTTTATACTATACGACACTCGTCACGTGGCAGTCTTCAATGTTAGGTTTGGCGTGGTTCTTTTGCAAATTAGATTAGAAAGCAAACTACGATTTGTATATTATGCACTCAAATGCCCACACACACACTTAACCCTCCCTTCTCTCGGTAAAGCCCGGATATTTTGTGGAGTAATCATGCAATTGGCAACATCTTAAAATCTGGATCTGAAACAAATACTAATTACAGTCACATGTACAAATTATCGCACTGGCAAAGCGAGTAAAAAACTTGATTCTGTTGAATGAGTGTATGCACAAAGCAAATATCCATTTGACTACATGGATAGTTTTACTCGCTATCAGACGCTCCGTAGTTTTAAATTGGGGGCCATGTCACAAATTTCGAAAAACTTTGCAGTACCATCTTGACTCCACTTTGAGGTTTGTATGCGTTTCGAACAAGTAGTGACATACTTCAAAATTTGAATTACAACCTGCAGAAATTATATTTGGATTAGGAAAGTCGTCAATTTCAAGTATAACTGGAAGTGATCTTATCATGAAGCTATTTAATTTGGTTGTCATCAAAACAACCAGTGCACTTTTTCATTGCAAAAATAGTGTTTTGAGCAATTTTTAATTGCAAAAACATTGTTTTGTTAAAAAAAGAAAAAGAAAAAAGAGTACAGCGACGGCATAATCTGCATAAACTTGGAAAAGAGATTTAATTCTTAATAACAATATGTATGCCTTTTTTCCCCCTCAATTATAGTTATAGATTCAGAGTCACAGCATAAAATAATGCACATAAAAACCAGTGCACAAAAATCATCATGGAGTATATATATATATATATATATATATATATATATCTTAACTAGTGTAAAAGAGACGATTCATGTCTCAGTGTATATTATTGAAACATCGGAACAGTTTTGGGTACAATTACCATAATAAATCAAGGGTAAAAAAATCGTAAACAAATGTGTACACCAAGAAATCGTGTTGCCTTTATTAATATTATAGATATATTTTCTCAATAAATTAAAAGAGTAATTGAATTAAAATAAGGAGTGCTATTTTCATCTTTCAGCATACATTTATTCCAGTGTCCTGTATGCTGATATGGGGTCATACCTAGTTAACAATACCTTCTTTACCCAAATCAAGCAGCATCACTGTGGGTTAAGATGGCCTCAACTCTATCCAGAGACGCTTGTAGTCGTCCTGAGTGCATGTTGAACATCGGCTCATCAGTACCCAGAGCCCTATTAAGGTTTAAAATTTAAATTAATCAGTCATTAATGAAATAGGACAAAAATAACAAATAATGAAAAAGGAATCAGAAATGTAATAGAATAGCTCATCCAAAAATAATTGATCAGATTCAGAGTAAACTTTCTAAATGTTGATAAATGTATTTTAGTTTTAAAGCTATTATTCTGATTACATATTCACCAAATGACAAAACTATAAAACTTGCCCAGTAATTTCAGGAAGTACATAGTCTGCCCTCCATCCAAACCGTAAATCAAAACCGGGAAACAAGCCAACTGATGTCTTATTTCGGATCCGGGATACACCGTCTCCGCCCAAACATGTGGTGAGCTTCCATTTCCAACCAGTAGCATGCATTTGAAAATTGTGTCCTACACCTACCTGCACTGTTTTATGTCAGTGTGAACCATTTCAAATGAAACTTTACAGAAAGTGGGAAATCAACTTACCATGGCATCAATAATAACAATGTGGAAAATCAATGCATACAAGCACATAAAAACTCCACATTTAGCACTATTTCCTACATTTTCAGCAATGACCAAAATAAATGTAACAAAATCATGAAAAAGAAAAATAGAAACCACCAAACCTGAAGATTAAGAAATTTTGTGATGGGGATCTTTTTTGAGAGAACGCGAACATCATGATGAAGGGGCTCATAGATTATCTTCCACTTCCATTCAGGTGTTAAAGGCTTCAATACAAGCTTTGCTTGATACTCGTTGATTGGGGCATTATAGAACTGCATAAAAAAAAAAGATCTCTAAGTAGTCATCATAAGTAAATAATTGACTAGTAAACAAAATCTTCAAAGCAGTAACCTTTTAATCAAGTATATAAAAAGTTAAATTCAAAGAGCATCGCTTCTACAAAATTTAGTGTTCTTTTTTACACTTCTTGCATGCAATGCAAGTAACGGATGGGTTTAACCACCTGGTCAGGATGAAAAACAAATATCCAACAGCCAAGGAGTTAAGGAACAGAAAATAATCTAATTCCAGCACCGAGAACTTAAAAATTAGCTTGCTCTCAAACCATTTTACAAATTTAAAAAATCTTAAGAGCATAAATTGGTGTGGTACTCTTATAGCCCCCATTCCCAAATCTAATCTAACAAGGATCCTATTTGAATATATGTTTAAAAACGTTTTTGAGAAGTTTTCTTGAAAGTACTTATAATTTGTATTCAAATAGGCTAAAGGTGATTCTTAGAACATTAATTAAGTGGAAACAAACATGAGTAACAAATTTGGATCTCCTACCAGATATCTTGAACTAACTGCTACTCCAACAAATCAGAATGATGGACTCCCACAAAATTTAAGGATAAAATTCAGTCTGCCTCCCAGTGGTTTAAAAGTGAGAGAGACATATCTCCCTAATCTTTGCTTTATTAGCCCTTTGCATATAACCAACCACCGGTAGGTTTTTCAGTCCAAATTATCCTTTATGACTAATAAAATAACATCACGGCATGTGTCTCTCTAATTGCTTACCAATTTCAAGCATGTTATATAAATAGGGAAGCCTTAACTTAAATGCAAAGGTTATACGTGAATGGATATGAAAAGAGTGAGAAGCGATGAAATGGAAGAGAAAAGAACCTCCATATTGAGACCAACTCGAATACCCTGAACTTCTTTCCGGAACTTGAGAAATAACTCGGATGGCATCAAATTGATGTTGTAGAGCTCATCCCACGAAGTGGGTTCCTCCCCGTTCGGAACCGAATCCATTTTTGGACAAACCTGCAAAAATCGCTTGCATGTATACGTATAAACAATAAACAATAAACAATATCACCAATAATGTTGTAACTTTGATTTGATTATCCAAAAGCGGTTTACCCCAAAATTGCTATGCTATGTTCTTCAAGAATCAAGCACCTCTTTCTTCGTAATTGGATTTGCTTATACGAGTTACAGTCACCCTAATTGCTCCTAAAACCCCTTCTGTCGCTCATCTCCATCCTTAAACTTTGTTAACCAATACTCAATTTGTGCCCTTTCTAATTAGTTTCATTTAATAGTAGAAATGAAGTCAAAATTACTTGGTTAAACTAACATTTCATAATTACTGATTTACATGTTCAATGACATTAAAATAGATTTTTTATTTTTAGATCTATACTCTTTAAATAATTTATACAGAATTATTTGTTTTTTTATATTTAGGTAAACGGTTCAGTATACAAAAGTTATTTTTCACAAAATAATAAATTGTTGTTCATTTTTATGTTAATTTTTTTATACTTAAAACTTATACGAGGGAATGGTGTCAGGTCCAATTAAAAAAATATGTATTTATTTTTAATCTTATATTAAATAGAATGCCTTTTACGAAAGTTGTTTGTGAAAAAAAAATGAAGACATAACTTTCCAAATGCTACATAGTACTGTAATTAGTAAAGGCTTTACATTTTTCTCCAAAAAAAAATAGAATTTCTATTGTTTTTAAGAATCATAAAACGTTTTTTTTTTTGTGTGTGTGTTAATCACATTCATTTTCTCTCCTTTTTGTTTATTCATTTCATTCTTTTTCTCTAAACCGCCTAAATTGTTACGGCAAAAATAATATTTAATAATTTTTTTTAATAAATCATAGGTTAAGTTGGAATATTAACTTTGTCCCAGTTCATCTACACACGTTTGATGATGATAATATTTAATACACTTTAATAATATTTAATATGAGTTTAATTAATTTTATATATCGTAAGTATAAAGATTTGAATTTAAATTCTATGTATTGTTAGAATAATTTTTTATATAATTAATCAATAAAGAATCACGATAAATATAACTTTTTAAATAAATTATTATAAAAACTAATAAAATTATCATGTATAATAAATTATTATCGAATCTAAGACGATCCTAATTAACAAGGGGTAATATAAGAAAAGTTATAATAAAAATTATTAAATGTTCTTGTTTATATATATATATATATA